AGAAATAAAGAAAGCAAGCTTTAATGGTGGAAGAACGGGGAGAGGCACCAGTCATGGTTTCCTTATACATGGATCCTGGGGGTGGGGGTGGGCGCAAGGTTACTGGAATCACTGTGGAAGGAGGATCTAGAGTTAAGGGAGCACTCATTTTCTGCTCTCTGTGGACACAGGTGTAGTTGACGCTTCCATGTGGCTCACGTTTAGTGAGTAGCTCCCATGTCCCATGTCTGTGGTAGGTGTTAGGCTATAACAGTGAGCAGATGGACGCTGTGCCTGCCATCATAAAGCTAAATAAAGCAAGGCAGACAGCCAGAAAATAACTGCACAGAAAATAAAGTATTACACATGGTAGTAATAACATGATATTTTAAAAAGGAGATGAAATTGAAAAATGATAAGGTGTGGGTATCTGTTTTAGACCGGGTGTTCTGGAAAGGCCTCTTTGAGCAGGGAACATTCAGTGACATTTCAGTGAAAGGTAAAAGAGGAAAGGAACTGCCCCTATGAGTTGGGAAGGGGAGGCTGTTTTGAGGAAATGAAAGATGAACCCCCAACCCCGCGTGACAGAAAGGCGGTGATGTGGAGATGGCCCAGGAAATGAGACCAGAGAAGCAAGGCGCAGGGGCCAAATTATGCAGAATCTCGGGGTTGTTGGAGTCCTGTTTCAGTCCACACCTCAACCTCTCTGCAGTCCCCACTTCTGTATCCTCATAACTTCAATTACCCAGAACATTGCCAACAAGAGCGGTGCTTGTATCTTAAGAGCTGCCTGCCCAGAGACCAGAGCCTCCAGTCCTGCTCCTTTACTGTCTTCATGCCTCAGTTTCTCCATTGAAAAATCCTTAATGTCATTTTCCCAAAAAACCATTCTTTTATTGGACCATAACATGAAGCTTAAAAGAGGGGCTATCATTCCTCTCATTCTTTTCTTTCTCCTTCTTTGCCTCGGCCAGGTGGGAGGGAGGGGACCCTCCATTTTGGAGGCAGTAGACTATCATTAATAAAATTTTGACTCCTTAAAAAAAAAAAAAAGATATTTTTCAGGGTTGTTGTGAAGCCCCTGCCACTGGAACTCAGGATCACCCACCTCTTTTTTGCAGAAGTCAGGCACCTGGGCAGAGAGGGAGGCTTCGGCATGGGAGCAGGTGCAGTGAGAGCGGCTGCCCCTCCGTCGTCTCCCCCTCTNCCTCTTTTTTGCAGAAGTCAGGCACCTGGGCAGAGAGGGAGGCTTCGGCATGGGAGCAGGTGCAGTGAGAGCGTCCCCCCTCCCCACATGCCTCACCCTAGCTTTGTCCCTGCACTGATTATTGCTTTATTACTGTTTTCAGTCAGATATAATTCTGGCATTTTCTATAATCTCGATCTTTTCATTGATACCAGATTTTTATACAAAGATTTGTATATAAAATGATTATGTACGCACCAGAATACATTCTCCAGCAATTAGAATGTTTAAGATGCAGCTCCTAACACTCCTTCCGCACATTCCTCATTTATTACTTTTGAAAGTGTTTTGTGATTTTGTGTGTGTGTGGATGTGTTTACAAATCCAATAACAATTCTCATTTAGAGTTGCAAAACACGAAGCCATTTTGAACCCAGACAGATGGCAGCTAAATGAAGTTTAATTAAAGAATGAGTGCTTTGAATCAAATCCCTTTAAAAAGTACAGTACACTGAGATTCTGGAGCGGTTGCATAAACAGCATCTGGGCTGTGCGGCAGAAAGCTGGGAGCGCTTGCGAGGGAAAGGCTCGGGAAGCCGCCCCCGTGGATCGGGCCGAGCAAAGCAGGCGGGCAGGCGGCCAGGGCCCCAAGCTCGTGCCCTGTCCTCTGCCCTCCGCCGGGACACAGCTCCCAAGGCCGGAGCTCCCGGGGCGGGAGGAGAAGCTGACGCGGGCCACCTCCTGGTTCAAGAGCTTTGAGTGGGGGGCGGGGATCCCCTTCTAAATTTATGGAATGAGGTCGGGCACCAAGGCGAGGGTTTGCCGCACCAACCCGCTTAATTGCAGGAGTCCGCAGTGCGAGTGAAAGGAGGCGGCTGGGGGGGCTCTGCGGGCCGCAGCGCCCCTGGATCAGGGTCCGCGGC